AAATCCAATTTTTGAGCTAGAATGCTCTTCTTCGAACTCGATCTGTCTTTTTATGATACAAAACGACCCGGAAAATCCCAGGTCGCTAGCTCAATTTGTTCTCGAGTTATCGTGCGTACAGACAAACACACAGACAGACAAACAGACGCGAAACTTTATGATCATCATTGGAGTAATAGGCTTCGCTAATCGCTCAGCCAAAAAGGCCCGCTGTTGAACCGCTAGATCCGAGATCTACGCAGTTCAGCCGCTTGATCCGAGGTCCACGCAGTTCTATCCCTGTAGCGAAGAACTGCGCGGATCTCGGATCAAGCGGCTGAACTGGGTGGATCTCCGATCTAGTGGTTGAACTACGTGCCTTTTATTCCAAGGTGTCGGATTGTTTTCTCATCTCCTCTGCTTGTACTAAATAGATATTCTGCGTTTACAGATGCGACTAGAGTTTGGATCGTGGAGCTCTGGCGGTGGGTGGAAAGAAAACGCTTTTATTATGAAATTTCAAAGGTTGTGTAGCACTCTAAATAATTTAGCACCAAGAACCCTGCAAGCCTTAGAGCGTAGTCTGAGTAACAGTAAAAAAGTTAGTCCTGCTACATGTCCGTGGAACCCGGTACGTATTCACATTCTGAAAATGTTGTTCGGATTTCGTGCAGATTCACTTTTGACCTCTTCCCGAAATTCTCACGGAACTTCGTTTTCTATTCTTGAGTTGATTCACATAATATGCCGTAATACGGGCTAATGTCACTTGTCCCTAATGCAAAGCACGCATGACGCCCAGCCGCTGGCGAAAGCACGCACGGCGGAACGCCGCTGGCGAAACCACGCACAGCCAGCGCCGTTGGTGAAACCACGCAAGTGCACTTTTTGGTGATTTTTGGAGACATATACCGTTGGAAAGAGGAAATCATGCTCTTCTTTCAGAATATGAAGATATCTCAATTTTTTTCAAAAATGCACTTCCGTGGTTTCGCCAGTGGCTGTGCGCTGTGCGTGGTTTCACCAGCGCCGCTGCGCTGTGCGTGGTTTCACCAGCGGCGCTGCGCTGTGCGTGGTTTCACTAGCGGCGCTGCGCTGTGCGTGGTTTCGCCAGCGGCGTTCCGCCGTGCGTGCTTCCGCCAGCAGCTGAGCGTCGTGCGTGCTTTGCATTAGGGACAAGCGATGTGGACCACCTTTGTTGGTGGCGACTGTGACCACGATGAACAATAAACTATTGATTCGGCTCCTAGTAAAGACAGTGCGCCTCAAACAGGAGCAGTAAGAGGGTGGTCCACATTATCCCCGGTCCCCCGGTTTAAGGGAGCAGACCTGTAAGAGTTTGCAAGCATTGTCAGTACATAAAAACTACACTCCGCATCGCTTTAGGATTAAAGTTGCATTAACAGCAAAGGTAGACGCTAATTTTGCCGTCGTGCCAGTACGCACACTCTCCGGGAACATGCCGACCTTCGCCTTCAACTGGAACGACCCAGTCCCTCTCAGTGTGCACGATTGTGCTGCAACGGATTAGTCTGAGACTGTCAACAAAATTGCTACACTGTAAAAAATTCTATAGTAGATTTCCTGTAAATGTCTATAACGCTATTAACACACACGTATATGAATTTTCCCATACACGCATGTCGGAGTTCCACCATGCATGACTAGTAATCCTCCCATACAAGTATAGGAATTTTCCTATACACCGTTGTAGCGGTTTTCTTTACATGTATAGGAAATTTTCTACACACCAGATGCATTTTAAAATAGAAAAACGTTTTTCTCTTCCTTCTTCCGCGGTTTCCTCCCAGTTTCCGGTAATTACGTGTAAGTAAGCATTGAAGTTATGATGAAATACCTTACCAGACGAAGAGTTGACCCTCGGACTTCTGGCATGCGATCCGGTCACGCTTACGCTGACCACTCGACCACGGGGCCTTGTTGGGAGGACTGCCCCACTATCCCCAGGTCATCCCAGAGCCACGCGGCCGGCCCTCGCTGGGACTGGGTCAGCCAGGGCCAGATGTGGCGGCGGTCAGCGCGCGCGCGGCGCCGGGGCAGGGCCACGACACTTAAAGATTTCCGGTCGTATAACTTTTGAGCCGCGCCTACATGTGGCTACCCCCGAAATTCATCACTTGAGCCGCGCTGGTCGGGGGCTGGTCCCTAAGCGAGCAATCACGGACGCTCTGCCACCCCAGGGCGAGTCGGGCAAACAGTCATCATCTTAAGCCGTGCTTGTTGGGTGTTGGCTAAGACTGGCTAAAGTACAGACTAATTATATTATTCATAGTAAATATTCATATTAAACTGAAGTTTAATTCAATTTCCACTTTCGCCTTTGAAATCCCTATGCTGATCTTGTGTCGTTCTTGTCGGGACCTTATAACGGTCTGAACAACTATGTGGTTTTGGGTTTGTTTTTAAACGAAACAAACCCTAGTAGCACAAAACTGTCTTACGACAGTCGGACAACAGTAGAAAAAAAATTCTATCGGTATACTACCTTTTTTCCTCGAAACGAAAATCGTTATCGGCCATCTATCGCAATAAAAACGAAAAACCACTGTTGTGAGTTCAATCAGGAATCGATAAAAATACAACAGAATTGTAGATGGTTTAAATTTGATAGACCATCGACAATCGTCTGACTATGGAAAAGCCACTAACCTCCCACCCTCCAACTTACGTAAGTAAACACGCAAATCATTCCAAATATCACTTTCGTTCCTTTTAATCGGACAACACTCGGTTCGACTCGGTTCGACTATCTGACATTTTAATCACTGCTGAGAAGGTATTAAAGTCTTTGGGTGAGCGCAGAAGCCACTTGCGCTCCCCCACCCCTCGAGTGCCGTGCTGCCAACCTACTACCACCAAACTACGAATTCAAATTCAACGATCGCTTATTTCAAACATCTTATATCAAACTTCTAAACCAAACTCGATACGGCCGGACTTATACTGATGCTTCGTGCGCAGTTTTAAGTTACTTGAAGTTGCCGTCTGTGAGCAACGTGAGTAATTACAGACAGAAAAACAGACAGACACACGAACAAAGAGTTCCCTGCACCTTGTGATGACAGCGGATGACAGCAAAGGCTTCGCTAACGCTCAGCTAATGATTAACAATTACTTTACCCTAGATTTTTTTAATTCGGATCGTCTATTTGTTGTTTTGTTTTTAAAAATACAACATCCTAGCGTTAGCTCAAGTGACCACACTCTCATTTCCTTATTGATGTGCTTTCCACTTGTAACGGTGAATTTTGTGCAAATGTAATACGTAATACGGATTACACATCATTAGCAATTTGGATAAAGTACTCCGTTTTATGGATAATTTGATCTGTATTGCAAACACGCCTTCATCTGTAAAATATGGACCTTACATGGCATCTTTGCTACATGGATCAATCCAATTATCTGGACAATTGAATCCGTATCACAGATGATTTGTTATTTATAATACATATGCACAAATTTCTCCTAAGCGAGTCTGAAAGAAAATGAGAGTGCATTGTTTATTTTAAGCTGTTTTTTGTTTTTAGGAAACTTATCAAATTACGAACTTCTCGACTCTCGAAGTAAAATCCACCATCCCTGCACTGTTTTACGGGAAATGGAGAATTAATCTCATCATCTTTAACCCAAAAACCCAAGTGGCCCTCGCTTGTTTCAGAGTGTATGCTCGCACTACACCAAAAATGCCCTTCGTGAAAACTTCTAACTAGCAGTGATGGTTTTGTTGTTTCATTATGCTGACTTGACACTTCTTACAAATACGAATGTATGTTTTCTCCGGCCCCTTCTAATGAAGTCCTTTCTATTTGTGAGCGTCTCAACAAAGCATCGCCTTTAAAAAAAAAAAAAATTACCAGTTTATACCAGCAGTGGGGGCTAAGATGAGAAGGTCGGAGAAAGTAACCGAAGTTCTCTGGTAAAGGCTGGTTCGATGTTGAGCAAGAAGTGTTTATTGCTAACACAGTCAACAGGCGACGCAGTAATAATCGCAGATGTCAGGAGCAGTCAGCATGAGAGGGCACAGTACAGGGAATAAAGTGATACACAGATGGACGAAGCAGTGCTTATTTACAACATTCCTACTTGCCATTTGCGTCACCCGACGATCACGACTCTACTCAGAATTATTTTAAATTTATAACTCTACGGCAATTCCAGCCGTGACGAACGGACGTACTCTAGTGATGTTCAAGTTCAAAACATTTAGCGTCTGTCTGATTGTCTGCGTGTGTGTCTGTCTGTCGTCAGGATAACTCGAGAACAGTTTAAGCTAGGTACGTGAAATTTTACTGGAACTTTGTATCATAACAAGCGGGGCCCGCACTGAAAAAAAAAATACTGTGGTGCTAAGAACAGCTGTAACACACCCAAGACATTTTGCTCTTGGATCGGCTCCCAGAACATGCGTTCTTGGAGCCTGTTCCTGGTGAATGTCGTTGAGGCATGTCGTTGTTATTAATGACTGTGTGTCTGGCGTGACCTCGCGTTGCTGTTACTATTAGTGCATGTGTATTGTCACTCTTGTCGGTGAGGGAAGCCCAAGCGTTCTCACGTTAAGTTAAACTTGGTTCTTTCTACTGAGTCGTTAGACGAAAAGAAGATGTCTTCGACGCATGTACTTACTAAGGAGAGCTGCATGTGCTCCGGTGCTGTGTCGTTGAAGGAGCAACAGCGGGCTTTGGGGAAAACCACTTCTGGCTTAAAACCTTGTGGTAGGCCGACTTACTGATGTCGTAAATATAAAAGTCAAAGTCGTTCAGCTGTGTAGTGGTGTGAAAGCCATGTGTCTCTACACAGTGCTGTTCTGACTACTGCAGATGTCCACAAGCTGTGTCTCAAGGCGTGTAGTAATAGGAAATTTGATGGATGAGATGACTTAAGAAAAATGAAATAAATTTCAATTAATAGAAAAATGTACGTTTTCAATATTTTAGTATCACAGGTTGTGATAAAACTAATACAATTGTTTGATGTACACTACAAATAACATATTCAATCATCAACATGTAGCTTAACAGACTTCTCTCAAACCAGAGGAAATGCAAATAATAATTATCAATCACGATTGAAAACAGATTGCAAGTCAGACAAAATAATTAAAATTGATCACAATAGATCACGCAAAGTAACAAACTTAACGCCATTGTAGGAAGAACAGGGAGCGGGTCAACTAAAGGAAGTATAATCTACACTGTACGTGAAATATTTTTAACTTCTACAAACTGCGGCACACACAGCCAAAGATTTTCAGCGTATGAAAAGAATGCTTCGTTTGTTGAGTTTTGGTTACGAAGTAGACAGCAAAGGTACCTGGCAAAACGATGGTTCAAAGCAAGCTGTCACTCAAACGGGCCGAAGGCCCGTTTTCTGATAGAAGCAATATTGCTGGTTTGTCGATTCAATAAAATTTTACAGACAAGTAGAAATGTTTTGTTTGGCATACACAGGAGTGCAGATTTAGCAATCAATGAGAGCAGGAGTTAAGCCCTGGTGGCAGATTTTATGAAAATGATCCATGAGCATTAAACAATATAAAAAGACCCGTTGGGGCATAAGAGTTGGCAGATAGAGAAAAAAATGCATGAATAAATTAGTGCAAGCCTACCAAAGAAATGCAAACAGGAAGGGCCAGAGTGGCCGAAGCGGTTAGGCCCCAACAGATTTGGGCGTGAGTAGAAAATAACAAAAGGGGCTGAAGTGCCCCGGCCTTGCAATTTGAGAAAAAATTACATGGACGGCCAAAATTACAGGAATCTATGTAAACAGAGGCGCCAATTAAGTTAACAGAACGGGCGCCGCTCACTGAAAGTAAGTGCATAGCACACAGGAAAGATGAAGAGTTAAGGTAGGCAAAAGGAAGCACAAAGAAGGCGCCACGCCAGGTAGCCCGGAATAAAAACAGGGCATAAATGACGGCCTGCTGGATGCGTGGCTGAGTAGGAGGACGTCCGGCGGAGAAGGCGGAGGGACTCGGGGACGGTTCAGGTGTTCAGGTGTCATTAGATTGGAGAATGGTGCATCTTAGTCGACCCTTACTTCTACTCCTTGCAGGCGGCCCCCGTGGGCCAGGGCTTCCAGTAGGTGCCCCAGGACTGCATTGTGGAGGCGTGTGATGGCCCCATCGACGGCAGGCAGTGGCAGAGTACGCGAGCAGTCGTCTCGGCGTGTTGCCCGAAGCGCCGGCAGAGGCGAGAGGCGGAGGCGGCAGGTGTCCAGCGGCGACAGCCGCGCAGGGGAAGGACTCCAAGACGTGCTCTGTGAACGAAGCGCCAGTTGGCGAACCGGTTATTCCTGGCGTAGTTGAGAAAATGGTTTGAGTGAGGGCTGGCAGCAATAACACCACTCTAAAAAAAATTACAGATTTTTGTATCAAATTTGATACAGTTTTCTGTATCCGGGCACTGTGATACAGAAATTCGTAATGATGATACAGAATCTTGTAATATTCTTTTAAAATTTGTAAACAATACAAAATTCTACATTTATT